TCACGGTTTGCAAGTTTTCAAATTACATTACGGACTAAAATATTGAACAGAACTGTGTGTCCTTTTGTATTAAAATTTACATTTTAAATGCCAAAGATTGTCATGGAAAACAGACGATTCTAATATTTTCCTTTCCTTTTAAGTAATGGTTCATCATCATCAGCTTATTAATGTCCCCACTGCTGGGGCACTGGCCATCCCTATGGATGGAATAGGGCGATTGGGTCATGACCCACCACGCGGACTCAGTGCGGATTAGTGGGTGCTTACTGGGCTTAACATGCCTTCCAAAGCACGGAGGAGCTCGAGATAGTAAATTTTTGGTCGCCCCTCCAATGACCGACCTTCGAAAGTTGCTTAAGTGCAACGATCGCAGCTCAATAGGTTGGTAACCTGAAGCCTCTAAGAGGAGTTTTGGAAACTTAGCTTTTTTTAACAAACCCCGACAAATCACTCGCTCAATATTGTGTGTGGTTAACTTTAGTTGTGAACTTAGTTGGTGCAACTATTTCTCATAAACGTGCTACAGCAGTTACCGACCTAATTGTTTCTAGACAATATATCAGGTATTAGCAGTGTCTAATGTGATATTATGTATAAAGGTATGTCTTAAGGATGAAATTAAAACTTATCATGCATTTGATACTCAGAAAGTCACCCTAGCAGGAAGCGGTACAGTCACGAACAGTAATGTCAAATTTAATATGAAGAAAATAAAAGGGAAAAAGTATTTTCTTATGTTTTCGGCATATTCTTCAGACATCGAAAGAGTGTTTGCAGGCAAAAATGAGTAATGGCTCTCTGAAATTACGTTCGCTAATAACTTGTTAGGAGTTTTCAGCAGTGATTCAACACCAAACAAGGATAGATAGCCGGGCCAGTGAGTCTGCCTAACTTAGTAATAAAACTTGGAGCCGTTCCACAAGGTACTTTGTTCTCATTTAAAATGATTTTATCTAATGAATCGTTCTTTAGAATTTTCATCAATTCGGATTATTTATTATGCCACATTTTCAAAAAATTGTGCGATTGGATACAAATTTCTTGTTTTATTACTTGTTACTCTGAACGCTATAGTGAAATTTTTATACCCACATTCTTTAATAGATATGAATTATTGTGATAAGATTTTTTATTAAATAATGTACAATTCTACAAAGTCAGTACCCAATTTTAAAGGTATGGGGCAACAGTATTTAGCGTTTTTAACAAAAAAAAAACTAAAATAATTAAAATACCACAAATCAGTTATGAGTTTGAAGTTTTCATTTGTGATCAAATTTCAGTGACGCTAAAGAGAATAATCCAGTTCGGTACCAACGCTAGCTAACCCTAAATACGTCCTTCAAACTTGGCTTATTAATATTTATGCTGAAGTTAAATATTACCCCCGCGCTATTGCTAGTTAATTTCGTGGGAACTCAGCGGAATTGCTCGAGTAATTAATTCGTTAATCAACTTGGAAATCCGGTTAGCAAACAATGAACAGGTGAAATCCCTATGCGCACAGCGCTCACCCAATTTAGTAATATTTTAATATGCAGCAGTTTTTATTTATACCCAACTCCCTTCGTCTTGTGCAACATTATTAATTTAAGTAGACAGATTTATTTTATTCTTTGAGCCTGAGAATATAAGAAGGTAGTTTTGATACTCAAGCACACTTCTGGATACTTCGGTCACAGTCAAAACTGACATTGATTTTTTCTTCCGAGCACTATTTTCCCCGACAATACCCTCCAAGTTTGTGAGTTTTTTTCAAAACGCCTGAACAGATTAACTTGTGTTAGTACATTTTTAAGAATCCGTACAGAAGAGTTTCCAAGATATGAACCTAATAAAAAAAAACTGGTGGCACTCTGGAAGTGAAAACAGAAAACTCCAACAAAAAAAAACTAAGCATACTGTAAACAAAAATAAATATATAAACTCATCTCAAAAAAATGCCCGAGTCGCCTAGATAAGTTTTCCCTTCATATTTTTTGGAAAATTATATGGCTGTCATGTCGGTTCGAACTCAAGACCTCCTGCACTCGAAGAAGCATTTATTGATTGTTGCATTAGATCAAGCCACTACTAACAAAACAACATTGCGCAAAATTAAAATACACACACTTATATACAGAAGTGCCGTCGGTGTCAATCACGCGATCGCCGGTGTCGCGAGCTGGTTGGTTTTTTCCCCATCTTGAAAAATGCCCAACGCGCCTATAGAAGTTTTCACTTCAAAAACATGACTGTCAGAGGTGGGCCTCTATTTAAAACCGAAAATAAGGATTGTCCCTTTTCGTAATAAGGAAGAACCTACTTTTAGTTATGAAATTACAGGAAGAATAGAAATGAGTGGACATCAATTAATAATAATCAGTTTAACATTTTGAAAGTTATTTAAAAACTCCAACTGGACTAATTCGCCTATAAGGTTATAGGGATTAAGAGGCATGTTTCAGATCCAGATTCTCAGAGATTTTCTTCAAAGTGCTATAAGAATACGAAATGTTTGTTATTTCATGACTTTAAAGCTTCTTTTTTATATTTTTGTATTGTCTGGTAGACATGGCCAAAAGTACTTCCTATGCAGGGTACATGTGGAACGTCCTTTATTCATTCCAAACAAAGAACATGCGGAACTATTTATGATTACGAAACAGACTGAAGTTGGGGTCGAGCATGAAACAAAGTTGATCAGTTTATTGGTCGGAATCAGCGCAAGTTTCCCCCTGATGAAGTTAGCGGCACAGAATGGGGGAAGTCAGGCGGCTGGCTAAGTCTATTTGGCCATGACGTTCGTAGCCGGTAGGTGGCACTCGACTGCTGTCGGATGATGTTCGGATTGAATGGCCCAATTGAAAGTGTCATTTGGATGTAATGCGATTATCACACACCGGCTCGCTTGAAACTCAGAAGTGTGATGTAGTGAGTTCGGGTCGAACTCACCGAAGAACTCACGAAGCATTTGCTACTAAAAAAAGGTAGGGTTAAGATTACAACCCTTTATGTTCAACTTACATAAGATTACAACTATTACAAGTACCTCAGTATAAACTTTTGATTACAAATTTACAACATTTGATTACAATTAAATGATAGTAAATCATACAGAGTTCTTCTAATAGCCATCTTGGGAGACACCGGGTTAGATTTTTGTTTACGTAGTGAAAATGAACAGAATTTTTACATATACATATAATAATTATATTGTTTCGTGTCTGTCTGTTCGGGTCTATGCCGTTTTCATTTGTAGTAATAATTTATACTTTATAAATCGTAAAATCTAAGCAAAATTTTATCTCTACAACTACCCTTGTGTTAATAAAATTGGTGTGGTGTGTGTTTTATCGCTATCACATTACGTGGTCATAACTTATTTGTAAATTCTCATTATGAAATAATCCCTTAAAAGCGTAAAACTTCCAAGTACGAAAACTGAACTAAAAATAAATCCATCGCGCCGTACTGCAGGCGCGGAGCTTAATTATGATTTACAACCTCAAGTACCAGTTCTAAACTCTAGGTATTAAAATATGGAGCACCATCATAATGGCCGATAAATCACACGTGTAACCCTAATATACGGGTACAACGTGACCTTTATGTTTTTAGTTAGGGAACTCTGCCCGCGAAAGATTTAGACTCGAGCCATTAATGAGTTCTTGGCTCCAACCGCCCCGGCGCACCTTGTACCGTTAATTTTTTCGTGGACAAAACGCCTGTGACAGTTATTTAATTATTTACATTGTCGGCCGCGCCGAGCCGTCCGCCCCAAAGGACTCGGGTTGGGGGTCTACTTTTATCCGAGTCCTAAAACTGAGCTTACCATTATTTTAATCACTTTTTATTTTTCTTTCGTGGCTCTTACATGCAGGATTGATGCAAAGTTAAACATAGACTCCTTCAATTGATAACTTTCCCGATTAGATCAAATAATAATGAACACAGTATATTCTGGAGCTTTTGTAAGCAATAATGTGGGAATTGCAATGACCTTCTATTTGTATAAACTGTTTCCGGCCCACCCTTTTTACCCGACTTTTATTTCGTGCCGTATGTTGTTTGTTTAGCCGTATATATACATATGCCGTCAATAGGTGCCTGTAAAGGCTTATGTTAAATAAACTTATTTTGATTTGATTTGCTAACACCGCCAGGGATGTTTGTTTTTAGCAAGTACGTAAAATGTAATTAAATGCCACGGAGCGCAAACAAACTGTTTAGAAAAACAAAGTGATACACAAACAGATCATAGAGAGTGGGAATGTAACCTAATATCCTTTCGAACGAATTTTCTCATTATTATTGTTTTTAACATTCCTAAAATAGATTTTCTTTATTGATTTTCTGCGCATCGGAGGCATTACTTACTTGGAGCTACTACGCATTTAGTCAGCTTACGTATTATTAATGCTGAACAGAAGTATTTCGATGACGTCGTACTAAACATCGTTTGATTGCGTTTCGAAATCTCGCAAAGTAGAACTAGTTTTTAATTGGATCATGTCATTCCACAAATTTTTTTTTATATTTTATTTTAAGTTTTCCGCTGCCGACCCCACAATAACTGAGGAGCTAGCGAACAAACGGTATAATTACGCATCTAGTCAAACTACTTTTTTTTAACAGTCCGGAAGTTTCGGGCCCGTTAAATTTGAATCTCAAATAATTTTCAATCAAAACCGCCTGCAACAGTGTTAAAATTACTAAATTTGCAAATTCAAAACCATGCCAAAAGCTCACTGGAGGTATGTCATTCAGTTTTATACAAATTATAATAAAATAAAATATAATAAAATTGAATTTTATGTAATTATACCGTTTTGTTCGCCAGCTCCTCCTAGTCTCTCAGTATACTACTAATTAAGAGGGTAGCGGGGGAATTACATAACGTGTCTTGTGACATGATGTCACACTTTTTCATGAGTGCAGCTGGTGTTTATTGATTTATAAGACGTTATTACATCTATAATATATATATATATATATAAAAATATTATTTTGTGCAGAGAGTTCAAACTGGTGCTGAGGCCGGACCCCAGCTCGGTGTTTGCGGACGGAGCGCAATTCCACTCTTCCACCGGCCCTCTGGACTACAACACCGCCCACGTCTACTCGGGGAAGCTTGAAGGTATGACAATACCCACCTTAATACTTATCCCATACCTGCGTGACGAAGCTTCGGGTGGCTTTGGTACTAAAATGCGCTAAAATTAACGTTCAAACTATGAATTAAGTACGCCCTTTTAGCTGCAGCTGCACATACAAATTTATCGTTTTCCACAACCTCTTTTAGCGTGTCAAATTATCGCCAGTCAAGCTGTTTTATGATAAAAGGGTGGCAAACAAGCATATGCTCCGCCTGATGGTAAGGGGCCACCACAGCCTATGTACAGCCTGTAGACCCAATACCCTACCCCGTGGAGCTATATAACCATACTCACCGACGGAAACACAACACCGCCAAAAAGGTAGTGTTATTTTACTGTGGTCCTCTGTAAGGTGGAAGTTACTTCCCCTAAAATACCCTATCTCTCTTGGAGAGGAGAAGCTATTGTCTAGTCTAGCGTCTATAGGCACGCAACCCGTTAATGCATAACGACAGAACTAATTCAAATTTCGAACGCTAATTTTAGCGCATACACGCAAAGGTGTGGAAGAGGCAAGACACTACAAGCAATGTAGAAAGGGTAGAATAGAGCAAGAGAAGCAGGACAGCAAGTTTTTGCTTTACGATGAAGCGATGAGCGCAGCGACGGCAATGGCCTGCGCTCATTCGATTAAGATTATATACGAGCGGCTCGTAACCGACGGCATCGTAACTGCAGCCGTCGCAACCTTTGTACGGCAGCCGTCGAACCGTTGAAGGCAGCCGTCTACTTCTGCCGTCAATATGGTGACTACCGCCGCCGACGAGCCTTCAGCCATGGACGGGTCGACGGTAGCTATCGCCTTGTTGACGGAAGAGGTCGACGGCAGCAGTTGCGATGCCGTCGGCTGCGAGACACTTATATATGAAGCCTAAGCTCACGTAGCACTTCCATAAGTCAGAGACCAGCACACAGGCTTTTAGCAAACCTACGTAGCAATACTACATAAGCGTGTGACATGCTCCAAACACGACATCACTGCACAAAATTTTGCATGGGACCGGGTTTGCAAATCGTAAGTGGCAAAACAGAAATTTTCGACAAATGGTCATTAAAAGGTTAAGAACACTGCTCCGCTGTAAGGTAGGTCATGGCTGAGCCATTAGAATGGTATGGTACACTAATAGTGGAAAGGTACACTAGGATACAGCACGTAAGCAGGTAGTGTTATTTTAGCTCAAATTGAGCTCTCATATGGTAAAGTATCCATTACTTGCAGAAAATATTTGTGTTTCTGACGGTGAGTAAGGTCCGAGGGCTCCGCGGTGTAATGAGGGGCTTGTTAGCGTTACTTACGTATAGTTTGACTCTAGGGAAACAAAGCAAAATCGCAATACACAAATGCTGCAAATCAATCGAAAACCATTTTATTTAACACTGGCAGAAACAACAGAACAGGTTACAGGTTGATATAAAGTAGGTCATCATCAGTAAGAAAAAGAAAATTATATTAGTCTACTTATATATTTAACCTATGAAAGGTTACAATTTGTTGAGTGCCTAATATTATGTCGTCTACGAATTTCTTCGCACTTAGTTATGCAAATAAATAATGTGAATTTGAATAAACATTACTCACGAGTTCTTGACGACGACGACGACCCGGCACGGATGCCATTTTGAAATTCACTTCGGTCTGTTTAGAATGAGTTAAATTGTTTCTTCTGGTTCCCTGCTCATTACTCTTTTAAAGAGACATCAAAACGTCAAATCTATATATATAAAAATCAGTTGCTGTTCGTTAGTCTCGCTAAAACTCGAGAACGGTTAAACGGATTTATCTTATCTTGGTCTTGAAATGTTCGTGGAGGTCTAGGGAAGGTTAAAAGGTGAGAAAAAATCGAATTCTACACTACAGCTCTCCACCGAAGCGTAGCGAGGGCGGGCCACTAGTATTATTTAAAAATTTAATTAAAGTATGTCTTTAAAAGTACCGTGGGTTTCTTTATTTATAGGTAGATGATCTTGAAAGTAACTTTTTAAAATAAAAAGAGTAGCAAACAAGCAGTCACACCAGATGCCATTAATTAGTATTTTTTCGGAATTATTCAAACTTTGGACATAGATTATAAATTTTAATTTAAATATTAATCATGATGCTTGTAGCAATGCTCGTATTCTTTGGTGCGTGTGCCGGAGACTTGGAGAGATGCTAACGTGCAAGCGGTGCCCAAAAAAGGGCATCGCTCAGACCCGGCAAACTACGGGCCGATAGCAGTCACCTCAGTTTTATGTAAAGTTCTAGAAAAGGTCCTTAATAATCATCTGACACGCTACCTAGAGGATCACTCCCTGATTAATGATCGTCAATATGGTTTTAGACCGAAACGATCGACGGGTGATCTTCTAGCGTAGTTAACTCATATCTGGGGTGAGGCCATCGACAAGCGTGGCGAGTCTTTGGCTATCAGCCTTGACATTGGCAAGGCGTTCGACAGGGTCTGACACAAAAGCCTTCTCTCCAAGCTTCCAGCATACGGTCTGCCAGGCCAGTTCTGTTCTTGGGTAGCTGACTTCCTGCATGAGCGTAGAATTCGTGTCCTTACGGATGGTAGCAGTTCGCGGTTCATGTCAGTAAATGCCGGCGTTCCCTAGGGCTCCGTCCTATCCCTTGAATGACTTAATTCCTCTTGGGAATATTCATTGCTATGCAGACGATAGTACAGTGCATGCGGGGTATCTCGGACGTGGCGCGGCTGGGCAGGCAGTAACCAAGGAGAAACGGGAGAATCTTGTCATTGAACTCAATCAGACTTTGGACCACATTTCCGAATAGGGTACCAGGAACTTGGTTGAGTTCAATGCCAAGAAAACTCAGTTCTCTTCCTTCCCTTTCCCTCTCTTCAGGGCACAACACTGGCGCGACAGAGCAACATTACCATGCTCGGTATGGAAGTTCGCTCAGACCTGAATCCAAAGGACTACATCTAAACCGTAATCAAAACAGCTTCACGCAAACTCGGAGTCCTGGACAAGGTCGTTTTATCACGCCCGATCAACTGTGCTTGTTGTACAAAACGCAAGTGCAGTCCTGCGTGGAATATTGCTCGCACCTCTGGGATGGCTCCGCCAAGTACTTGCTCGATGCTTTAGATAGGTTACAGCGGCGCGCGATCCGCATCATAGGCGATGAGAAGGTGACTAAACACCTTGAGCCTCTTCAATTACGCCGTGACGTGGCGTCACTAAGCGCGTGCTATCGTCTGTACCACGGCGAGTGTTCTGAGGAGTTATTCTCTCTTATCCCACCTTCCCCTTTCCTTCAGAGGACTACGCGCCGTCTAACTGTGGCCACAATTCCAACGCGTACTAAGAAAGGACAATGTTAAAATTGGCCTAAGAACCAACACCAATTTGGCATTTATGATAATTCTTAGTATTTGCGATAATTATCAGTATTTAGATTGTGACGGACACTTCCAGTTAAATAAGCTAAATTAAAAAGTTAAAAAATAATCTGAGACAATAAATACCATTTTATGTGTATAATCTATGGCAGCGCTGCAAACAAAACACTCTTTCTTCCTAATGCCGGCACTTCACTTGGCTATTCGTATTTGCTATTTTAAAACATGACATCAGTCTGTCCTTTTCATTCCTTATTAAGCATGACAAGGACAGACTGTTGTCAAGTGAAGGGCCGGCATAAAACTGTTACTCTGTGGTTGTGGTGCATGCAGTTTGCATTCGTAGTAATCTGTGGCATTCATGCATTCCAAAGAGTAGTATAATATACCGGAAAGTGCATTCTCGTTTCGGATTACCTGTTGTGTGTGTTTATTTGCGATTGTTTTTCCTTTAATTTAACTATTTCGGCTATCTAATATGCCATCGATGTAACCAAAAAGCAGAGCCCTTATTACCAAGTGCTAGTGAACCTGTGCTACAACATCCTGAGAGGATCATACTGCCAAATTATTCAAGAACACCTGATACACATTCACGCTGCATATTTACACAATATACATGTGATATACAAATAAATACAATAAACAATATGATACAATTATGTGAAAAATAGTCAATATATAAGAAGCAAAACTACAGTTTTTGTTTTATTCATGATTTCTACCAAACCAAGTTTTTCCTAATAGTTATTCTTTAAAATCGCACCGAATAAAATGAATTAGTTGTAATATAAATTAATTCACTTCATACTGAGTTCATACTAAATTCATAGGTTGACCTATGTTTCATTGAATATTAAACATAACCTCAAAAAAGTTTTAGTTTTCCTAATAATTTAAGTTCTCAGAAGTGTCCGTCAAATAATCTTTGTTTTTACAGTCATTTACTTACGATTTTGAACCTAGAAAATAATATTTCATGATTGTTGGTTCTTAGGCTAACTATGTATGGACGCTGAACAATGTCCTTTGGTGACTCATTTCTTTGTCGCACTATCCGTAAATGGAATACTCTGCCCACTCACGTGTTTCGTCCCTCTTACAACCTGGGATCCTTCAAAAGAGGCGTGAAGAAGCAACATGCAGGCCGGCAGGGTGAGGATGGCTGGTGTGACAGGTAGAACTGCTGTATCAGCTATCTTCGCGTCTGGACTTCACCTTCACTTAACATCAGGTGGGGTGGAGTCATTTGTCGGACCTATCTATAAAAAATCTATAAACCTAAAGAAAATCCTATTGGAAGAATAATCTAATCGTCAAATTTTTCTTTAGTTCTATGGATACAAAGTTTGTATGTAATAATAAAAATATTGAGAAAAATAAGTATGTATCTATAAGTCAAGACTTTAGAGGTCAAATGACCTAAGTTGTTATTCTCCGCGGCCTAGAAGCTAGTCACGTCACGTGTCTTACGTCGAGACGTTTATGCCAATTCATGTAATAGCCTCGATGTAGGTACCGTTTACAAACAGTCTCGGTATGTTTCCGCATCATAGCCTTGTTAAGATTTCCTTTGCGGTAAACAGCTTCTTGCTATGTACCCAGCTGTGTTTTCAATTTACTAGTTCACGCAG